AAAACCTCCAAAGAAGGAGAGCCCACCACCTCCCGAGGAAGCCTGTTTCACTGCAGTAGATTTCAGATAATGAAGGATCCCTCTTCAGGAGTGCTTTGATCTCTCTAGCTCCAGAGGGCAGGACTAGAATTAACAGGCAGAAATTACAAAGAAGGTAGATACCAGCCAGGAGCGATGCTCGCTCTAAGCTGTGGAATCTTGTGCAGATGACCATCTAGCCTCTGTCTGAAAACCTCCAATGAAGGAGAGCCCACCACCTCCCGAGGAAGCCTGTTTCACTTCAGTAGATTTCAGATAATGAAGGATCCCTCTTCAGGAGTACTTTGATCTCTCTAGCGCCAGAGGGCAGGACTAGAACTAACAGGCAGAAATTACAAAGAAAGTAGTTACCAGCCAGGAGGGAAGGCGAAGTGGTACAGCCCGACCTCATCAGATCTCAGAACTAAACAGAGTCAGTACTCAAGATGGGAGGCTACCAAGGAAGACTCTGCAGAGGAACGAAAGGGTAAACCACCTCTGCTTCTTAGTCGCCTGGGAAGTCCTTTCCTGGGGTCACCATGAGTCAGTTGCGACTTGGCCATACTTAAATATGCACGTAAATATCAGCCAGATTGAGGAGAAACTTTACACCTGGGGACTGAGATCCCAATACAAATTCACAACACGTCTCTTGGGCCAAGGGGAAAATGTAATGCAGTTAAAGACCTCTGGTTCAGAGATTTCCAGAATGACGTCATCAGTTAACACAGAAAATAAACAGAGGGATTAGGAAGGGCCACATGGAATGGTCAGTAGGGTTGCCAGGTCCTACCTGGCAGACGGCTGGAAGTCCCCAGGGTCCTTTCCAAGATCTTCTGCTGTGTGTATTTCGCGTGCGCAGCACAATGACATAACCCGGAAGTGACGTCATCGTGTCACCGCCGTCAGAGGTGATGCTCTAGTTTTTGGGCAAAACTCTATGGGTTTTTTGCCTTCAAAACCATAGATTTTGCCCAAAAACTAGAGCATCACCCCCCCACAGCAGCAACACAATGACATCACTTCCGAGTGACAGCATTGTGTCGGAGACATCGCATGGTGACATCAGCTGGCCAGCAGCAAATCGAAGCCCTCAAAGGCAGGGGAACCCTCACTGGGACTTGGGAACCCTAACAGTCAGGCCTTTGTGTGGGGTGGTGACTAAGGTATAGGACTAGGATCTGGGAGACCCAAGTTCGAATCCCCACTCTGCAATTTAAGCTTTCTGGGCAACCTCAGGCCAGTCATACACTTTCAGACTAATTACTTCACAGGGTTGTTGTGAGGATGAAATGGAGGCATTTGGGGTATCTGGTGAATAAGTGTACAGTAAAGTTCTTCATTAGCCTTGTTGGGCTGAAATAGAGCCTGACAGGAACCCGCCACCGTCTTCGGCAAAGTCACTGCTCAGACTTTCGAAAGGCCTCTCAAGATATGTTGCTGCTGCCACTGACAGAAAATGCTCCCTGAGCTGAGCTCCAAAGGCCTTTTGTATCTAGGAGGAAATAATGCAAAGTGACCCTCTGATAGCCCTGCGAATCAGTAGCGTTCTTAGAGTACATGGTGGGAGGCAGAAGGAACGATGCCAGCCACCGGCAACCTTCTGAACTCTCCGGTGAAACTAGAATAGGCAAGTCAGAAAGGTCTACAGCTCCTGTTGGGCAGAAGGGGCTATGCTCAGTCGCAGAGCATCTGCTTTACATGCGGAAGGTCCCAGGTTCAGTCCCTGGCATCTTCAGTGGAAAGGATCTGGCAGCAGTTGATGTTAAAGACCTCTGCCTCAGACCCTGGAGAGACCCTACTAGTCCAAGTGGATGATACTGACCTTGACAGACCAATGGTCCAATTCAGGAGAAGGCAGCTTCATGCTACAGAGGGGCCACACAGGTTTCCCCAGGGGGGCCAATAGTATTCCCAGGGCCATTTCATGTTGGGAAAATGGCACTGGAAGGAAGCAAGGAATAACCTCTCCATCCATGCTATGATCCTGATCCAGATCAGACCCACATGTGCTTGGGATTACTTTCCCAGCATGGAATTCACATGCAGAATGCATGCAGAAAGTCCCAGTTTCAACCCCCGGCGTCTTTGGTTTCAAAAATCGGATAGCAGGTGACGTGAAGGACCTTTACCTGAGACCCTGGAGAGCTGCTGCCAGTCTGACTAGACAATACTGACCTTGATGGACCAAGGGTCTGATTCAGTATACGGCAGATTCATGTGTGTGCATGTGTGCTCAAAGCAACACATGACACAGGGAGAGCGGCATTTCTTTCTCCTTGCAAAAATAACAAAGTGTCTCATGTGGCACCTGAACTAGCACATTTGTTGTGGCACAAGCTTTCAAGGACTACTTCATCAGATTCATGAAGTGGGTCCTTCACTGACAGTATGTGTATGTATGTGTGTATATATATAAGAATCGGATTCGACTGTGTGACTGAATATATGCAGAGAAGGGAAAAGGGAAGACTGTGAACACTCAAGACAAAACCCCTGGAAATACATGGGGCTGCGGTAAGGGTGTCACTTGAATACAAGATCCAGTAAGGTTAACCTGTTCTCAGTGATTGCCACTGATGAGGAATTAACCCAGCAACAAATCTGATATATTAATATCTAATAATGCCTCTTTCCTGTCTGCCATTTTGGAATTCGATTACCTACCTAGTAGGAATACATGTCGATATCCTGCTTTCTCTGGGCATAAGGCATAATGATTATGGTACATGATGATCACATACATGGCCAAGTGTACTTTCCTAAGCCCAGAAATGAGCATTCATTTAAATGTGTATGTGTAGGCAGTTATCTCATGTGAAGACGCACAAGCAAATACAAAGCTCTTTCCTATCCCAAACCGATTTTCATACAGACAATATAGCTGCTTAACTTCAGTAACACATTGCAGATCCTTGTGCTGTGGCAGCAGCTGCTGTCAAAGCAACATTTAAAAAAAAATCTGTGCATCCAATCAAATTTCCAGTAGTCAGTCAGATGCCTTGCCGGGCAAAAGCCTTACCTGGGCCTGCCCACTTCCTAAAAACACTTGGCAGGCACTAGAAAAGGTGTTGGCAGGCACCATAGTGCCCTCGGGCACCCCACTGGAATATAGCACCCTGCAATATAGCTGGTGCAAAGGCCCTTGATTTTAAGCAGACATCCAGCGTAAAAGGGGAACTGCGAATTCTTCTAAAGTTGGCACAAACTGACTCATGGAAAATATCCAGAAATAACACATGGTCATTTTATTAGGACCAACCAAATGTATCACCCAATAATGAGTGAATGTGTCGCTTAGTATCTCCCCTTTTCCAGCTTCCTTCTCTCCTTCTAGGGTTGACTAACCTCTGGGCAGGGAGTGGAGATCTCCTCGATTCACAACAGATCCCCCAACTACAGAGATCGGTTCCCCTTAGGGTTGCCAGACTGAGGTTGGGAAACTCCTGGAGATTTTGGCTTGCAGCCTTGGGAGGGTGAGGTTTGGGGAGGGAAGGAACCTCAACAGGGTATAATGCCATAAATTCCACCTTCCAAAGCGGTCATTTTCTCCAGGAGAACTGATCTCTGTCATCTGAAGAGCAGTTGTAATTCCATGTGATCTCCAGCCCCCACCTGGAAGTTGACAACCCTAGTTCCCCTGGAGGAAATGGCTGTTTTGGTGGAGTCTATGGCATTATATCCCTTTGATGTTCCTCCCCTCCAGTCACTGGATTTAAGTATCCAAAGACATCCCGACTTCGCTATTAGAATATAAGATTCAATCTGATGACAGGCTGATAAAAAACAGGCAGGCTGATAACAGTGGGGATGGAAGAATGGATATTGCTTACAATGGGAGTGCAGAGGCCTAGATACCAAATACTTCTCTCTCTTTCTTTCTCGAGTAACAAACTCAGATCTATACCATCGACAGCAGGAGCAAGCCAAAACTAAAGAACCCCAGGAGCATGAGTGGCCATTCTAATGGCTCTTCAGGCCCAACATATCATATCCCATCTCTCCCCCTCCCAAAAATCTCCCCTATCCCACACCACTCCTCAACCAAATGTATCACACAATAATGAGTGAATGTGTCGCTTAGTACCTCCCCTTTTCCAGCTTCCTTCTCTCCTTCTAGGGTTGACTAACCTCTGGGCAGGGAGTGGAGATCTCCTCGATTCACAACAGATCCCCCAACTACAGAGATCGGTTCCCCTTAGGGTTGCCAGACTGAGGTTGGGAAACTCCTGGAGATTTTGGCTTGCAGCCTTGGGAGGGTGAGGTTTGGGGAGGGAAGGAACCTCAACAGGGTATAATGCCATAAATTCCACCTTCCAAAGCGGTCATTTTCTCCAGGAGAACTGATCTCTGTCATCTGAAGAGCAGTTGTAATTCCATGTGATCTCCAGCCCCCACCTGGAAGTTGACAACCCTAGTTCCCCTGGAGGAAATGGCTGTTTTGGTGGAGTCTATGGCATTATATCCCTTTGATGTTCCTCCCCTCCAGTCACTGGATTTAAGTATCCAAAGACATCCCGACTTCGCTATTAGAATATAAGATTCAATCTGATGACAGGCTGATAACAGTGGGGATGGAAGAATGGATATTGCTTACAATGGGAGTGCAGAGGCCTAGATACCAAATACTTCTCTCTCTCTCTTTCTCGAGTAACAAACTCAGATCTCTACCATCGACAGCAGGAGCAAGCCAAAACTAAAGAACCCCAGGAGCATGAGTGGCCATTCCCATCTCTCCCCCTCCCAAAACTCTCCCCTATCCCACACCACTCCTTAGCTCAGCTCTTCCCCACCTACCTTTGGGTTGCCGTCGCTGGTGGTAGATATGCAGTGCTCCACCCTTATCCACTCGGGTTACCACCTGGTAGTCCGAGCTGTTGAATCGATTGACACGGATGACGCTGGTCTTCTGCTGGGCATTGGCATTGTCTGAGTTGGTGGCGTACAGATAGTTCTCAAAGACAGTCAAACCGTAGAGATGCTCTATCTGGAAGGCACAAAACCCAGGCTTTTTATGGGCAATACCAACCTACTGGACTCCTTTGTGCTGCATGGCTTGACTTGCTGTTTTGCATCATCTGAAGCCATCTGCCTTGCTGGCAGCCTTCTCAAGTCCACCTACACTATGATTATGGTATGTTAGGGTTGCCGACCTGGAGATCTTCTGGGATTACAATTGACCTCCAGACAATGAAGATCAGTTCACCTGGAGCAAATGGCCACTTTGGAAGTTGGACTCTCTTGTTTATTTGTTACAGGTATGTCCTGGAATTTCTCCAAGGGGTCCTCCGCCCCCCCCCCCAATCTCCAGATATTTCCCAACCAGTAGCTGTAAGCCCTACGGTATATTCTTTTGCCTGTGTGTCCAACGAGAAAAGGGAAACAGAGACTGATGGATAGATATATGATACACTGCTGAGCTCTGTGATTTTCTTTATTATTCATATCCTCTATTGTTCGCTTCTACGTCACATATGCAGAGTATATTAACCATACTGCAATTTTTCTTTATCAGCATCTTGTTTATTTGTTACAGGTATGCCCTGGAATTTCTCCAAGGGGTTCAAAGCAGATTTCAGCTCACATCCCTATAAGGTAGGCTTGTCCACCATGCCAGCCTCTGAACTGAGCAAACACCAGCACTATACATTGCATCACGCTGGCTCTCCATTACCCCAGCTTCATAAGAACAGTGAAAATAGATTCTGCAGCCCCCAAAGGCGAACTCGCCTCCCACTCTCTGAATCACAGTTCTCTTGCATTCATGCCCAAATTTCCATCTCCCTCTCTAGACCCAACTCCTCGAGAATCCAACACGTCAGTGGCTGCCATTACTTACACAGCTGTACTTGGGGCTCACTTCAATGCCAAGTTGAAGGAGAAGGCAAAAGCACTGGTGTCAAAGCACAGGGGTCAATTTTACTGAAATCCCATCAGCAGTCTCTAAAGGTGGGAATGCTCCAAAAGGAATACAAGCTGGTCCTAGCAATTCCACGGTTCCAATTAATTCTATGCTTCCCCATAGGATCTCACAAAAGGTGCTCACCAAGAAGCCTTGGATGATAGTGTGCCGGTTCTTTCCCTCATAATCCACCACTTCAATGTAGTCAAGGTAGGCATCAGCCCAATAAACCAGTCGGTTGACTAAGTCCAAGGTAATGCCGTGTGGGAAGACGATCTTGCTGTCCACCAGCTTTGTACGGTTCTGCCCGTCCATGTCACACCGCTCCACTTTGGGTATCTGTCCATAGTCGGTGAAGAAAACCTTCCTGCAAGGGAAGAAAGAGAAGGATGAGAGAAAGCCTCAACACATAAACGGGAACCGATGGTTTCTCATGTGAGGAGTGGGGGGATAACTGACATCCTGCATTCACAGCCAGTGATGTTAAATTGAATTGCATACAAAACCGCCAAGTTGCAGAAATACAATAACAATGTAGACAAAAAACGTCTCATATGCCTCAAACTTTGGCCACCAAATGGGAAGGGAGCACTCACTGGAGAAGACCCTGATGCTGGGAAAGATTGAAGTGGGAAGACGATCTTGCTGTCCACCAGCTTTGTACGGTTCTGCCCGTCCATGTCACACCGCTCCACTTTGGGTATCTGTCCATAGTCGGTGAAGAAGACCTTCCTGCAAGGGAAGAAAGAGAAGGATGAGAGAAAGCCTCAACACATAAACGGGAACCGATGGTTTCTCATGTGAGGAGTGGGGGGATAACTGACATCCTGCATTCACAGCCAGAGATGTTAAATTGAACTGCATACAAAACCGCCAAGTTACAGCAATACAATAACAATGTAGACAAATAATGTCTCATATGCCTCAAACACACGCATGTATTATGCAGGATTTTGCCATAACATGTGACAAAATTCTGAAGACCTTTCAGCCCTAGAAATACTTCCAGCAGAGCAACCAGAAAAGTTAGGGAGATCAGAAAAAAGAGAAAACTACGGATTTAAATACTTATTGGATGAATGAATGAATGAATGAAAACTAAGATCACATGGCATTAATTTGAAGGACAACAGATTTGAAGAAGAGGCCACATGTCTACAGGGGTTGGGGCTGCATACTAAGATCACATGGCATTAATGTGGACAACAGATTTGAAGAACAGATCCTAATCCTAGGATCCTCTTGCTGGTGTCCCTGTCCTGAGAATTTCATCCTAAAGTGTTCCAAAAATCTATCATTTAGCTAAAGAATTTTAACCCCTCTTGTTTTTTACCCTTTCCCCCGAACTATCACCTCCATCTCTGTCTTCCAAAATCTGATCAATACTTTCACTCCACTGCATTTTCAGAGAGTAGTTGTGCTAGCTGTTTTTTGCTCCTTTCTGTATGCCCAAATCCATCTTTTATTCCAGAGGCCTGTTGATTGCTAGGCATGCAAATAGATGTGAGATGATGCTAGAGATTGGCCTATAGTCATTGAAGTCACAAATGCACTGAGATCTCCTTAGAGAAGGGATACACGGTAATTTTCTTCTACACAGTCCCTTGCACTGCAAATCCTACACAGAGTTATGCCCTTGTAAGCTCACTGGCTTCAACAGAGTTGGAAGAATTACCCATGCTTAGATTTGCATTCTCCCCCCCCCCTTCCTCTCTTGCTTATACAGGCAACAGTCAAGGAGGACCAGGCTGGCAAGAAACTATTCTTGCAAAGTTGCAGGGCATTAATGTACAAGTACATAAGCCCAGAATATACGGAACCCCTCTGGCTTTGTTATATCTTGATCCGCTATGCTGAATTAGGATGTTAAGATCCCTTTTCACTCTGATCTAGTCTCCAAAGACAGCTGAACTGTCACATTCACACTTCTTCTAAGGCAACTCTGTTCCATTTCAAAAGGCCTCGTTTCATACGCATTTTTTAAAAGGACTCCTTCTTTGATCCAGAAGGTTGCCTGTTGTCCTGGGTGCAAAAACCTCACAGCTGATAACATTTGATTTACAAAAGCCAAGGCTATTTTTGGGCAGGAACGCACAGGAACGGAGTTCCGGCTGGCTCCCGAGTTGGCCACACCCAGCAGGAGCTCATTAGCATAATGCAGGAGCTCATTAGCATAATAGGCCACACCCAACAGCAGAAACTCATTAGGACTGGCTACATTAGGGGTGTGTGGCCTAACATGCAAAGGACTTCCTGCTACAAAAAAAGCCCTGGGTTTTGACAACAAACAAGGTAAACAGAATAAGAAGCAAAAGGTGGGTGTGGCTGAATGACCACACTTCTGGTAACATGGGGGTGCGGCCTAATATGCTAATGAGTTTCTGCTGTTGGGTGTGGCCTATTATGCTAATGAGTTCCTGGCTGGGCTTTTTCTACAAAAAGAGCCCTGAGTCAAAAGCCAAATTCCTTCTGAATATCTGGGAGAGCCTTGCATGGCTATGATGTCTTTTCTCTTTTCCTCAGCTTCTAGTAATTAAGAACAACAACAACAAAGCAGGAAGGGAAGTTTAGCTTCAAAGTCAAGAGCGCTGACTGATGAACCAAGGTTGGACCAGTGACACAAGTTCATTGGCCAAATGCCCACAGGTTAAGATTCCTCCTCCAACGGGTACAATAAAGAGTTTTGGCAATTATTATCAGGGAGAGGGGGATTGGTACAAGATTCATCTCTACTATGAGACTTCAACAACGTCTGAAGTTCAATGAACAGGAAGCTGCTGGACCTCATTATGTAGCTAAAACTATTAGAGGAGGAGGGTGAAATGTCTGTTGCCCCAGCCAATGAATTGAGAATTATGAAAATGTGAAAAAAAATTAATGTACTTTGCTAGAAACCTGAAAGTAAGAATTAGGCATAGTACATTTAGAACAAGGAAGAAAGTGAGAGGTTTGGCCTCTTCCTAAACATCAAAAAGACCAAGTTCACGACGACCAAGAATAGAAACATCAAAGTAACAGTTAATGATGGAGAGAGAGAGTGTGTGGAAGAATTCACTTTCTTAGGATCACAGATCAACCAAAACGACGAATGCAGTCCAGAAATAAAACGTCGACTCACGCTGGGTTGCACAGCAATGATGAGCGTGAATCAAATATGGAATAGCAATTGTGTTCCCCATAGCAACCCATGGCTTCGAAAGTTGGACCATAAAGAAGCAAGATAGGAGGAAAATCGACTCATTTGAGCTGTGGTGCTGGAGAAGGTGCCTGCACATTCCTTGGACAGCAAAGGTGACAAACAAGCAGGTATTGGAGCACATAAAACCAGACATGCCACTGGAAGGAAAAAAATCACAAAACTGCCACTGACTTATTTTGGCCATATCATGCAGAAGAACTCACTAGAAAAAGCAATTATGCTTGGATTGGTCGCCAAAGAACATGGTGGCTAGACACCATAAAAGTCAACACTAACCTGTGCACGGAACAACTCAAAGCAACCGTAAAAGATAAGAAAACATGTAGAGAGCTGGCCCATAGAATCGCCAAGAGTCGAACACAACTGAATGGCTAACAACAACAACATTTAGAACTGAACTATAATGCATAAAAAAGCAAGATATACACCATTTTCTGATATATCGATGCTTCCTAATTAATGGGTTAGGTCCTATGCCCCCCTCCTGTTAAGCTGGATCCTATGACACTCT